GAAAATGGAAAGATCTCCCATGCTCTTGGATAGGTAGGATCAACACAGTAAAAATGGCAATCTTGCCAAAAGCAATCTACAGATTCAATGCAATTCCCATCAAAATCCCAACACAATTCTTCACAGAATTGTGAAGAACAATACTCAACTTTATATGTAAAAACAAAAAACCCAGGATTGCCAAAACAACATGGTACAATAAAGGCTCTTCTGGAGGCATCACCATCCCTGACTTCAAGTTCTATTATAGAGCCATGGTTCTGAAAACAACTTGGTATTGGCACAAAAATAGACAGATAGACCAATGGAATCAAATTGATATTAACCCACACATGTGTGAACACCTGATTTTTTTACTAAGAAGCTAAATACATACAATAGAAAAAAAGAAAGTATCTTCAACAAATGGGGCTGGTACAATTGGACTCCGGATATGCGGACGATTGCAGATAGAACCATATCTGTCACCATGCACAAAACTTAAGTCCAAATGGATCAAAGATCTCAACATAAATCCAGCCACACTGAATCTTCTAGAAGAGAAAGTAGGAAATACCCGTGAACGAATTGGTACAGGAGACTGCTTCCTGAACATTACACCAGTAGCACAGACATTGAGATCTACAATTAATAAATGGGACCTCCTGAAACTGAGAAGCTTTTGTAAGGCAAAGGACACAGTCAGTAAGACAAAACAACAGCCCACAGAATGGGAAAAGATCTTCGCCAATCCTACATCTGACAGAGAGCTGATTTCCAAAATATACAATGAACTCAAGAAGCTAGCCACCAAAATACCAAACAATGAAATTAAAAAGTGGAGTGCAGAACTAAATAGAGAATTATCCACAGAGGAATCTGAAATGGCAGAAAGACACTGAAGAAAGTACTCAAAATCCTTAGCCATCAGAGAAATGCAGCTCAAAACAACTCTGAGATACCATCTTACACCAGCCAGAATGGCTAAAATAAAAAAAAAAAACACCAAAGACAATCTATCCTGGACAGGATGTGGAGAAAAAGGAACAGTCCTCCATTGCTGGTGGGAGTGCAAACTTGTAAGACCACTTTGGAAATCAGTATGGTGGTTGCTCAGAAAAATATGAGTCAGTCTACCTCAAAATCCAGCCATTCCTCTCTTGGGCATATATGTTTATAATAATGCACATTTATACAACAAGGACATATGTTCAAGCATGTTCATACCAGCATTGCTTGTAATAGCCAGAACCTGGGAGCAAGCTAGATGCCCCTCAACTGAAGAATGGATAGAGAAAATGTGGTACATTTATAGAATGGAGTACTACTCAGTAGAAAAAAGCAATGAAATCTTGAAATCCACAGGCAAATGGATGGAACTAGAAGAAACCATCCTGAGTGAGGTAACCCAGTCACAGAAAGACAAACATGGTATGTACTCACTCATATATGAATTTTAGACATAGAGCAAAGGATTACCAGCCTACAATCCTCTTCACCAAAGAAACTAGGAAACAAGAATGACTCTAAGAGAAAAATGCATGGACCCGGAGAAAGAGAAGGGGCAGGATCTCCTGAGCTAATTGGGAGCATGGGGGTATGGGAGAGGGAGCTGGCAAAATGAGAGGAGGAGAAGAGGGGGGGAGAGGAGGAAATGGAAGAGCAGAAATGTTGTGGGGGGGGAAGAATAGAGGAGAGCAGGATGAGAAATACTATATTAGAGGGAGCCATTATAGGTCTGAGGAGAGATCTGTCACTAGGGAGAATTCCAGAGATCGACAAGGATGACAGGAACTGGCAATCTAGGCAATGGTGGAGAGGATACCCTAAATGCCCTTCCCCTATAATAAGACTGATGACTACTTTATATACCATCCTAGAGCCCTCATCCAATGGCTGATGGAAGCAGATGCAGATACCCACAGAGATACACTGAACTGAACTCTGGAACCCAGTTGCAGAGAGGGAGGAATGAAGATTAAAGGGATCAGGACAAGGCTAGTGAAACCCACAGAAACAGCTGGCCTGAACAAGGAGGAGCACATGGACCCCAGACTGCTGTCTGGAAGGCCAGCACGAGATTGAGCCAGACCCCTGATCATGGATGTCAATGAGGAGGCCTCTGCACTCTAGGGGGCCCCTGGTGGTGAATTAGTATTTTTCCGTGGTGTAAGAAGGGACTTTGAGAGCCCATTCCACGTGAAGAGATGCTCTCTTGGCCTGGACAGATGGGGGAGGGCCTAGGCCCAGCTGAGGATAATGTGGTGGACTTTGGACATAAATAAATAAAAACTAATCCCCACACAGCTCTACATCTCATTTACATAATTCTCACTATGTACCACTTTAGACAGTTCCTAGGCACAAATCCTCTAAACAGTAGCAGCTCATCCACCCAGTTCTCTGCCTCTTATTCTCTCTCTCTCTCTCTCTCTCTCTCTCTCTCTCTCTCTCTAATGTTTCAGTTCCCACAAAGTCAAAATATGGGCAGTTGTAAGTTACATTTTCAGGTCCTGACCCATTCTCAGAATACATGATAAGTCACACAGTTTCTCTTAAGCTAGGGATGTCATCTTGACTGGCCAGTGAGTAATGTTTGGCCATTCTTATAGCTCTCAGATCATGAGGGTTTCCATATAGAAAATGACATTGAAATTCAAGATTTAACAGTTAATTAACTGGAACTTGAGTTGTAGAGAATATGTGGAGAATTCCATTACTGAATGAGTTAATGTCTACCAAAGTTGCCTCAAACCTCACCTTGAATCAGGCACATGGGAAAATGATCTCCTGTATTTGTCTCTAGGAGCAACCATATAGTCATCTCCAGGGGCAACCAGTTGGCTTTGAATATGTTCTGAAGTTTAAAATTAGCTGTCTTTGTGACTTAGAATACTATTACTTTCTATCTCAGTCTGAGTAATGTAAAAGATCCTAGTGTTACTTCTAGTCATCAAAATTATAGACGTTAAGCAGAAATCCTGAATATCCACAGCTATTTGTGTGCCCAATAGAAGGAATATTTTCATATTTTTAAACATACAAGCAGTGGGAAAATACCAGTAGGTATTCTTAAGGAAGAAGTGAAGTGGCACCTGAGAGAGGTTACAGACAGAGACAAACATTTATCTAGAGTCAGTGACCACCTTAGCCATGCCAGGTAGGGATCCTCATAAAAGGATCAGTCATCTGGTAGGTTGGTCTATTGAACAGTAGTTGTCACATGCTGAACACTCCCATGGTGGCTTTCAGCACAACAGATAAGAGGCACCCACTCTTCTTCCTAGAACACCAGCACCACATGCAGTAGCATCTTAAACATGAATACCGCATTTGAGCATAAAAAAGTTACCGGACAATAATAGAAAAGCTTAACACTATGATTGATTTTAACTTTTATTTTTCAAGACTTCAGTCCATACAGTGAAAGAGGTAAAATCAAGACACTGCAGGAATTCTTAACACAAATGAGTGTAGAGAGTCAGTTACAGCAGCAGTCATGTCTTACTAGAACAAAAGACAGATTTCACGTTCTACCCTGGCCTTTCAATGCGTCAAGTGTCTCCTGCACACAGTAGAGGGTAACCACTTTGAAGAGGCTGGGGTCTTCTGTCTGTGTTGCCCTAATATCTTCTCTTCCTTCTCATTCACAAGCAGCTCACAATATAGGGTACATGGCATAGGAAGCAATTCCACAGTAGTTGTTCTGATCTCTGGGAAGCTTCATGTAGCCGTTTTCTCCCCATTTCTCACCATGGCTGAAAGAAATCAGGTTTTGCATTTAATAGAAAAGACACAGCAGAGTGGACTATTACAATAACTCTTTACTTGAGCACTGAGCCAGAGGCCGATTCAGTAGAAAGCATCAGAAAAGACAGAGAATCAATTCCAGAGTACCACGGGTTATCTCACAGAAGACAGTAAATATCACAGAAGGGAAAATTAGGACAACTTCCACCCACAGGTTGTTCAGAAATAACCCTTGAGAAATGGAAAATCGATGGTGCAAAGATTATATTAATTCCCAAGGAAAACAATGACAGAATATGAACTCTGTTCATATATTATATGTTAGTTACTCCAGACAAAGGCAGAGATCAGACAGTAAAGCCAGGTGACACATGTGTAAGGACTGGGATTTGTGACCAAGTTCCACTTAAAGCAAAAATGAGGCTGAAGCTATGTCTCAGAGCCTAGGAGCACTTGGAGTTCATCCACAGGACAATAGTTGCCACCCAGTACACATGCTGGTGAGCTCACCATCCCCTGTAACTGAAGCTGTAGGGAATGTGGTGTCTTTGTCTGGTCTACAAGAGCAGCTGCCCACACACAGTGTTTCCTCATACAGGCACACACTTATAACAAATGAAAGTAATTTGAAAAAAAAAAAAAACTAGGATGATTTTGCAGCCAATCTGTAACTGCAGAAGCCAAACATAACTAGAACAAACTGGATAAGCATATAACAAAAATAGAATCTCTAAGATCAGTGACACAATCTTTCTCAGTGCAGAAGTGTAGAGACAACTTATATCAGCATCATGCCTATCCATGCACGAACACACACACACACACACACACACACACACACACACACACAGAGAAAGAGAGAGAGAGAGAGAGAGAGAGAGAGAGAGAGAGAGAGAGAGAGAGAGAGACTCACACACGTGAACAACAAAACGGAAAAGAAAATGTTCCTTTCTCAATTGTAACAATGTTTTCTGTGACATATCTAAACTACAATTACAAAAGAAAAGTTTAGTTGACACCTAAAATACAAATAACGCCAGCGTTTTATACCTGTTCTTTAACAGCCAATACTTCTTGCCATCAGACTCTCTGCCTTCATAACCAAAACCGACCAACAGTAGACCATGGGTAGGATTATCAGTTTTGCATTTAGGTTCATGGTATATACCTGAAAAAGAAAGATCAAGGAAGTAAAGGCTCTAGGAGCATGATAGTGAGCATAGTCAACTACAGTAAGTGAGGCATTTTATAACTGGACTAAAATAACAGAGAGTCATTCCCTGCACCCATATAAGATGACACTCTCACATTGTGTACACTAACTTATAGAACCCTACCCCAGGAAATCATAACTGAAAATAAATTACTTAATTCAAGACATGCTTTAGAATTCAGTACCTGAAAGGCAATCATTCCACATCTTGAAAATACACCAGTTGGAGAAAAGTGGATTAAATAATGTTAAACAATTATGATAAATATCAAAGTGGTCACAGGCATAGAGATGTCATGTCACATAGTCATAACACATATGATTATTTCATAGACAAGGAAAAATTTAGAGACCTAAAACTCACATGAAAATAAATACATTATTAGGATATCAATCTAGAATGTCCCAAAGGGTCACAAGAATTCTTCATTAATATTTAGAAAAACATACACTTACCTCCGGCATAGTTTGTAAAAGATTCGTGTCCAGCATCAATTCCAACAGCAATGGGCCCATGAGTCACTAACGCATTCATTAGGGCCTCTTCATTCCTTGGGACAACCAAAAAGCGGGTGATCTTAACAACAGATCGTTCAGCACGGTACCTGCAACGTCCTTCCTTTAAGAAGTAAAGAGTTAAAAGATTTGGTTACTTCCATTTACCTTCTGGAGAGCAAGAGTCAGAACCACGACCCTGGGAACTATGCACTAGACCATTCCCACATCTGGGCTGTTACAAATCATCCCAGGAAGTGAAATGTTACTGGGAGATTTGGAACAGAAAATCAGCTCTCATGTCTTCAATGACACCTCATAGGTCTTCCTATCCATAAGAAATCAACATGGTGCAGAAATCTGTATTATATGTGGAGTGATTTGCACATTCTCCGTGTGCACAGAAGCAGGAACACCTACATGGAACCATGGAATCTGACAACCATGCAATGGTGGACACTCCAATGGCAGCACTAGTGGTGTGGGAGACTATGCATTCAAAGTGGGCTCTGGAGGTAGCGTGTCACTTCCGCCATTTCCCCTTGCCCCTGCTGAACTGAAAAGACAACCCAGGTAGCCCACTCACCTTTGCTTCATATGGATAGGTGGCCTCAGCTTCCAGACCTTTGTTGTTCTTCACATACAGAAAGGCACCATAAACTAGGCCTCCTTTGCAGCCATAAGTGCTGTAAGATCTAGCACAGTCGATTAGGTTCTGTACACTCAGCTGAGTCATTTTGCCTGTTTTCTTGAACAGCTGGCTTTCTATGGAGGCAGCCACAGCAAAAGCCCAGCAAGCGCCACAACCATTCTGAAGAGAGGAGAAGAAATATTGTCATCCACAAATATTAACTGCAACAACAACTCAAGCTATCAAATACTTTATCAAAAATGAACTATCCTCATTGATGGATGCCTAGGTAGGAAGAGTTAATCTCCATGGGAAGGAGTTTTATGCCCCAGTGGCTTAGAAATGAGAAGTATACATTCTATACCTGCATGAGCCCTATAATTGCTAAGTCATGGATTAGGGATTCCTCATTGCTTGGAACAACCAAGGAACATTTGTTACTAACAATAGAATGCTAAAGACAGTAACTGTGGCATTCAAGTTATAAAATTGTGTTTGGTGAATAGCATATCATCCCACAGTCAAATAAGGCAGACAAGTCAATAACTAGTCCCATTGAGGCAGTTGAAGAAGGCAGTCATAATGTTGTTATACCTGCTTCCGCACAGGACCCACATAGCCTTGTGTTCTCCAATCCAAAGTTTTGGGGATTTTGACATCTCCAAGTCTCTGCATGTGTTTCCCATTCCTTAGAGTCAGAACTGAACTGTCCGTCATCATTTTCTTCATTTCCTCACCAGTCTTCAAGGAAAGCACATATCATCTTCATTTAAACAACAGAAGAGAAAAAGAAAAAGGGTGAAACAATTTGATCCACACTCACCAAGTCACCAAATTCATTCATCTCTACAGTGAAGTTGTTCATCCCCAGGCCATTCTCCATACTGAGCAGTTTGATCATTTTCACATTGTCTTCCCATACTGCTCTCTTCTGTCTTTCTTCCTCCTGGAAATAAACATAATGAATGGCATTTATTTCTAATTATGTCCCTGTGCTACCTGACCAAGTGGACTGGCTGCTGCATATGCATAGAGGTCATGGAGAAGGATCTCAGGATGCTAAAGCAAGCCACTCTCAACACACTGATGAGCAGAGACAGTAGTCCACTGTGTGTTTACCCTGTGTTACATTAATACATCAAGTAGGGGTGGCATCTATGGCCTCTATTATATCAATGAACCCATGACAGCAATGAGCATGCTCTACAAGGATCCTCTTTGGGTGTCCATGTGACCTACTTGGCTGTATGTTTTATCATAGCTCTTTTTCCACTCCTCCCACTCAGCATCCAAACTGTAATCTGGTGTTGGAGCAGCTGAGGCCACTCCCAAGTACAGGAAGCCCAGGAGGACAGCAAGAATCATGTCTCAAGCACCTATAGAAAGAAGAAAATGAATAGGAGAATACATAAATACTCTTGAGAAGCTAAACCATCTATGCAGGATAAAATTATTCTAACCATTCTCCCAAATATTTACTCAAGGATTTTAGAAATGGCTAAGTATGAGTTTGAACTATAGATGCCATGGATGGCACCTATAGTTAGTTTTTACATAAAATTGTAGATCCTGTGTAAAAAAAAGTTCTAGAAATTCATGGAAACTGCCTTTCACTGCAAATTGACATGATCAAAAAGATGAACATGGACATTAGAATTCAAATCCTCCATAACTAAAATCTTGTATCAGTTAATTGAATATTTGTAATGATACAAAACTTCCCTGATGCGGCATCTGATCTGATGTAAAAAGGTTTTCCCTTTAAGTCAGGGGTCATATTGCAACACAACTCTTATTAATACAGAACATGAGATGGGCTTGTTTGAAACATCCCCTCTTGAAAGAAAACATTCTAGACTTTCCCTCCTTCTCATGGGAAGATCAGCATTACTAGTAGTCCAGCTCATCTTTGGGACTTCCCACACACTCATTACCTCAATGAGAAAAGGCTCACATGGAACAGCCACTGGAAACCATAGCCACCAGGGATGATAGGGCACTACATAAAGACTTCTTAAGATTTCAGGCTAGGTCTCATAAGCCATGCTTCCTATAGGTCTTGACTAGAGACATACAACCTTATACATCTTCTACACATGACAATCATGAAAAGAAGTTTCTATCTAATGGTGATGTTCAAGAAAATAGTCTCTGCAGGCTCGGAATGAGATGAACATGACCCTGGTGTGCATGGTATCAGCTGACATTGTCTCTGGCCAGAAGCAGACTTGAACAAATTGGAACCTATGCAGACCTGGACACATTGGGGGTATGGTTTTCTCTCTGGATTCCCCACCCTTTTCTACCTCCACACAGCAGGTCTGCTTAGGTTGAGAAGATAGTCTCCTTCCTGGGGCTCTGCCTGATTCTCCATGGACTCTCTCAAAATCCTCCTCAAGGGTCACTTCCCTTTCTGCCTTAGCAAAAGCAGGGCCTCACCTGTGGTGACTCCTGTTTCCTCAGTCCACCTCAGAAGCTCCTCAGAGGTTGCTGAGGTGTCAGTATCTGGCCCAGCAACACCTCACTCAAGCTTTAAATCCCAAGTCTCTGGCTAGTCAGCCCTTTCCATCAATGTTTCCCTTCTTCTGATTGGCTGTGAGGGTAACTGGGCCTCCAGGTTCCTAATGAGATTTGATCTTACCTTTCCTGGAGGGGTGGGTGTGGGTTGCTTCCTCTGGACCCTGGGGAGTTGAATTTGTGGACCTTTACAGAGGAAGTTACAGGATTAACCTTTAGGCTGTGGATAGCAATTTTATCTCAACAGTAGCTCAAATTTAAGGTTAGGGTGTTTCCTGTTAAAGCTGTGTAGGATTTCAGCCTAGCACTTAGTTTAGAATAAGAGTGGGCAGTCAGCACAGTCTACCCTTGTAGTTCATGTCTGATCCACATCTACATTAGGATCATATAAGAACACTAACTTTGGCGGGCATTCTTTTTAGTGTCACAGAGCAACACGGCTAGATCTCAGAAGAAGCCCAAGGATGGAGGGGTGACTCCATGTCGGAAGTGTTGTATAAGACCAAAGCAAGGAGGGAAATGTAGGTCCTAGTGTGCATGGTCTCACAAAACTGTCTGACATTTCTCTACTTGAGGGTAAGCACCATCAGATCTGTCAATATTTTCATTCAGTAATACATGCATCCCCTGAAATTTCATCATTTACAGTTTAGATATAAATCTCAGTGGCCTTTGGGATACCATCATTGTTGTACAAACATCACAAGTAGATCTGCAGGAGGATTTCCTCTGCTTTGGGGAAGCTCTGAACTAATTAAACAGTAATACTCTGATCCCTATCTTCAAGCACAGCACCCCTCACTTCATTTTCTCTATTTAAGGTTTTGCCTTCTACCATACATGGAGTGTTTTCCCTTACCATAACCATGGTAGAGGTCATTTCAACTGTACCAGTATTGGAATGGAGACTATTATGAGCTAGTTTAGTACCTGGTACCTACTGCCAAAATATCCTCCTTTAATCAACTTATGTGACTTTCTGTTAAATGCACACAAATATATTCTGTTTCTGGATTCAATGTGCTATTTTGTTGGTTCCTTTGATCAGAGAAAAAGTATATGATACCTATCTACCGTAGATCCTACACTACCAAATTTTCATGAAATCAAACTCAACTAATACATTTCTATATGTAATAGAAACAGTTAAGAATATTTATGTCATATAGAGTAACCCAGTATAATGTCTGTAAGTCTTTCGAATCCCTAAGTATTCTTACTTGCTTAATAAACTTGGACTGCTCCACTTAGAGTTTTGACTTTCTGCTAACAATGTCTATGCACGTCCTTCTATTATCTCATTTCCTTCAAGAATACTGATAAGTCAAGTCACCACAAATCATCATTATTGCTATCTAATCACATTCCAAATCTTATCAGGGTTCTCTCCCCCCAAAAGTGAAGTCTACTCATCATTGCCTGTCTGCAGCAAGAATCCTGAGCATCTGCCACGTAAGACAGTCCTTCATCGATGATTCTGTTTTGTTGCAATATTTTTTTTCAAATCCCTATCCTTATTCTTTGCTATAAACTGTTGTAGGAACTTATGTTGAGCAGACCCATATGTTGAATAGACTCACTTTTCCCACTTTGCCATCCTTATACATATCTCCAGAATCCTTAATGATTTTTTTCCTAGTATCACATAGTGAGTGTCTCAAGGTAAGTTCTTCTTAAGCAGAAGTTTCCTTGGATTTTCGTTATCCAGTATATCACCAGGTGAGTGATCACCTATATCAAATCATGACCATGTTCTTGTAGAGACCTAGAAATCTTCTCAAATGGCCCCAAGAATCAAGTGCAGTCCAGGAACAAGGTGGAAGGATCTAAAACTCATTGCCCTTTCTAAGCTGCTCTAGCATGATCTGACTTGACATTACTGTCCCACATTAGGAAGGTAGGTAGGACCTCCCTTCATCTGCATGCTTCACTACACTGGACACTTTCATGAATATCTTTGGTCATAGAAGGTAACTCATCATCTATGTACATAGTTTGATGTCATCAGTGGCAACTCCATCCCTGAGATATTGCTAGGAAAACATAATTCTTAAATCTACCCAAGGTGTGCTGAACTAACTACTCAGGTTAGTGCTGACCTTCACCGAAGTATGGGGAGCCCTGTGAATGGTAGTTGTAAAAATGAGAGGAGATAAGTGTGTAAACAGCTCAGGACATTGGAAACCTCGCTGCTATTACTCTATAAGTTCCATATTGAAAATGAGACATAGCAAGAAGAATTATTTCTACCAATACTTCATTCCCTTGACTGCCAGGCCCTCATAGATAAGGATACACATCCCCAGAAGCAACCCGCTGACAGACCTGTATGCACATGGTTCTCTTAGTTTAAACATTTTAACTGTCCTTTCCTCTGATAACCATAAGACACCAGGATTAGTTTTTATTTCTAAATATGTTTTTATTTATTTAGAGAGACAGTGTCTTACTGTGTAACCCAAGCTGGCAGGAAATTTTCTGTGTAGACCAGATTTGCAAACTCACAGCTATCTGGATCTACTGACCACTGCCTCTACAGTGACTGATTAAAGATATACACCACTGCAGAAGTATGTGCATGGTGTGTGTGTAGTGTGTGTGTATTTGTGTGTGTGTGTGTGTGTGTGTGTGTGTGTGTGATGTTTTGCTGAATTTTACACAAAACAATGGTTTCATTCCAAAATGAATTATATAATTTTAAACACACTGTTATTCTCTCTCTCTCTCTCTCTCTCTCTCTCTCTCTCTCTCTCTCTCTCCTTCTCCTTCATCCTCTCTTTCTCTCTGGCTCTAATACTACATTTATTTTTTCTTTTTTACATAAACCTTTATTCTTTTCCCTCCTCTTTTGTGTTTCTTCCTTCCATTTTTCCTTCCCTTTGACCATCACCTCCCTCTTTTCATGCTTAGCTCAAGATTATATTAGAGGATGCTTTACTTGTATAAGAGCCCCATCTTTGTTGCTAATTAAGTAACCTAGGACACATACTGTCAAAGTGCATGAAAACTGATCTTTTGCCAAGCAGATTAGTCTTTACTATTCGATCTTAATTCTCCTCTAGTTTGAGACACAGGAGAAAGCAATTTGTTAATCTGTTAAATTTCTCCTTCCTTGATGTCATTCTAATTGAAGAGGCAAGGAATTTAAAAATGAGGTTGATTTTCTGGAGACGTAAATTATTGGTAACCTAAATTCAGATATTCTGGAAATTCTAATATATACCCTTTTTACATTGCACCTAAGTCTGCATTTTAAATAAGGTAGTAAAAGAATAAGGGATAATGAAAACCTTTTCAGTATTCCTCCTATAATTTCTTTCTTATACCTATAACCTCACAACTGAACTTTAAAAACTAAATATGTTTTGAAACAGAAAGTCCTTTCATGAAACTCCTACTCAAAACTCAACCTGACATTTGACACAAGGCAAGCCTTAATAGCAATTGGAAACTCTGGAGAACAGTACACCAATGGAAGTTATGGCCTGGACCATCTCACACATCTGGGAGCAACTATAACACTCCAAGGATGCTGAACTTTGATTTATTTATGAGATTGGGGGAAAGTCTCAGTAATAAGGACATGTGACAGCTGACCCTCCCCCGCCAAAAGGGGCTCTATTCTTCCATTTTCATTTTATTATCCAGGGGTTCCATTTTCACCTTATTGTCCAGGGATCTCACCCTCCAGAAGCTGTGAGAATGCACTTGTGGTCCTCCAAGCAGTGTGAAAAATTGTGAAATATCTTCCTGGACAGTGGTCTATAAGCAAGAGTTTGGAGGGCAGCCTTACTTCACCAAATGACTTTTAGGAGCCTCACTCCACAACTATACACAATCACACCCTCACCTTCCTCAGTTCCTGAGATAGATCTCAGGGACAGAATGATGACACTCAGTCTTGCTCCACAATGATTCTATATAATAT